CAATTAGAGTGTCCCAATAACTAGATCAAAAGGATGAGGAGCGTACGGTCATGGCTTCGCCTTGCCATGATCTCCTGAAGTACCTAAAATAATAAACTGAAATTGTAAGCCCAAGGTCTTAGTGAGCTACCCCCACAATACCAACACCACACCGATAATACCATATCAATAACAGACAATCAACAACATGCACAATGGGCCATCGACCTGATTGGACTGCCCTGCACAGCCTACAGTCTAACTGAAGCTGTCTCCAGCCTTCGGCATCACTAGACCGCCACGTGGGCCTGCAGTCTCCCCAGACCGCTAATAGGGTGTGTTGGCCTTCAGCACAAAGCAGGACCGCCTCAACCCAAACAACAAGCAAATAACCATCTGCGCATAACTAGCATGTACTGGCATATATAAATACATACATATCTATCTCACTGATCATCAATCACAATAATCTCTCATAACTAGAGCATCGACCTAGTAGGTCACTATTATACCAATCCCTACGGATCATAAGAGCATAACATACTCTCTACCCTAATTATGATATAACAGATCACAACCATAAGTAGCATACCAAAACAATAACAACTAAAGGGTTGGCCTTGGTGCCTTAGACCCTATTGATATAGTGAGGATAACTCACCTTGCAGATGTCGACTCGGTAGATGAAGTCCAACTGTCGGATCACTGACAAAACTCCACCACTATTACCATAATATAATTATATCCATAAGTTCCCAACCTTTCAAGGTATCCCAAAAGCCACTAATCAAACCCTGTTCAAAATCAAGGTCATCAGTGAGGGTCAACAGTCTATGTTGACCCTAACTCACCGAGTATCCTCGGCTACTCGCCGAGTTGCTTGAAGTACTTGCCCACTTGCCGAGTCACGGAGTGACTCGTCGAGTTCCTTTGGTTTACGAATGAACTCTAAGGCCACTCATCAAGTTTCCTTCTTGCAGCTCGATGGTTACACACACATACATAAATTGGGGAAAACTCATCCGACTCGTCGAGTGGTTCATACCACTCGTTGAGTTCCCTGTCAATCTTCATCGAACTCACCGAGTTGTTCATCTAACTTGTCAAGTCCAGGTTTATCTTCATATGACTTGCCGAGTCGACCTTGCGACTCGTCAAGCGCCTTCAGTCCATAAGCCATACAAAATCTTTTAAAGCCATGCAGTGGCTCCAAATTACAGATCCAAGCTTCTAAGGCATGCATTTCACGTAAAGTTGGAAACTTTACGTGCATGCATGGCTACAAAGGCTCTAAATGACAAATCCAAGCCTACAATGGGGTTTCATACTCAAGGAAGGTTTCATACAGGCCAAGTCCATAGCTTTCTGACTCTAGAACCAAGAAAGGTCCAGATATGAAGTTACAACTTCAGATCTAACTCATACTCCACATTATCATCTCAACTATGGCATAAAAGCCCTAAATCTCAACCACATGAGGTCTAGGAGGAAAATGAAGTAAAGGTGGCGACTTGATACCTTCAAATGATGCCAACTGAGGTAGATTTCCGATTCCCACACCTTCCTTGCTTCTAATCTCTTGTCCTCCAAGCTCTTCCTTCCCAAAACTCCTCTCTAAAGCTCAAGACACACAAGGATGAACACCACACGAATTAGGGTTTCACAATGGACTGCAAAGAGGCTAAAGGGGGGCTTATGCTTCTTTAAATAGGGTGCAAAACCCTGGGATTTAAGGTTTCATTTGCCAACTCCTACTCGTCGAATCCCTTATGGACTCGGCGAGTAGGCCACTAAATACGTGATCCCACTTCGCTGCTACTTGACGAGTAGGGAAACAAACTCGTCGAGTATGTCTCAAAACCAAATAACTTTTATTTAAACCCATACCTGGGAATTGGGACGTTACACTTTCCACATTATGATATCTACCAACTCTTTCAAAATGTTTTTTTATCTGATACTTGCGCTCTCGATAAGATCTTTGCATATCTGATTGGATACCCGCTCGAAGGGGTTCCCACAAGTTTGTGCCCCGATACCTATTAATATCAAAATAAGTCTGCCAAAGGAAAAATATATTTGATTAGTAAAAAAATATTTAATAAGTGTAAAATTCAATACATATAAAATATATTGTATACTCTAGCTCGGGATATAAATCATCTTTATACTTGGTAGGAACACGACGCCAAGTATGATAATGCAATGGTACCTGTGATCCTACCAGATTTGAGATCAATTTGACAAACATTTGCACGTTGTCCCTTATAAATCGATACGTCCGCCCAGAGATATCAGTTTTCAAATCCAAAGGCCTAAACTTGTTTTTTTTTTCATACTCATCCCTTATTAGTAACGTTTGTTCTTAATGACAAACATTTTAACTTAAAAATTAGATTGTATACATACATAGTTAAATTGTATGACTTTTTGTTTGAGAAAAAAACGGATGGAATATATATATATATATATATATATATATATATATATATATATTTTTTCAATTACAGCATTGTACTTTTTATATATATACATTTTACTTTATTTCAATTACAGAAAAAAACTGTTATCGATCATCATTAGATTGTATTTATAGTATATATACATTTATTTTTTTCAATTACAGCATTGTACTTCTAATATTATTTTGTTTTTTTTATAGCACCATACTTTTAATAACAACGTGGTTTTATTATTTTGTTTTATGTTATAACTTTTAAATAGAAATGAAAATAAAATACTTTCATAAACGATATAAAAAAGTATGTTGCTATTAATAACTTTTGTATACATACATAGTTAAATTGTATGACTTTTTGTTTGAGAAAAAAACAGACGGAATATTATTTTGTTTTTTTTTCCAATTACATCATTGTACTTTTGTTCACTTAAGCTAATAAACTAAACAAATAACACAACCATACATATTTTATATTTTATACATAAAATTTCATACCAACCTAAACAAATATCATAATCATACATATACCAAACAAACAAACAAATTTGAATTTCATACAATTTCAATTTCGTATAAACCCAAACAAACAAACAATATACATATACAAAACAAAAAACAGCAATCACACATATACCAAACAAACAACACAATCACACGTATACCAACCAAACAACACAATTCTATAATCAAAAGAGCATCAATTTCAATTTCATGAAAACTTATGCATATATATAATTTCAATTTCAAAAAAAAAAAAAAAAAAAAAAAAAAAAAAACTAACTGTGTTTGTTCTTCTAGCTGTGATGGGGACTCCCCTTGTCAAAATCAATGGTGATCCTTCGTGGTGGCTGGTGGTCACCGGATATAAAAAAAAACAAAAAAAAAACGCGATCGTTCAAAATCGATGTTGTTTTCTTGCAATAAAATACAAAGGGTGGTGAAGGAGATAACCTGGAACGATGGGCGCCGATGCACAACGCGGTGGTGAAGCTTCAGGCGGCGACTGTGGAACGGTGGTGCTTCACCACTAGTGAAAACCTGTAAACACAAAAAAAAAAAAAAAACTCAAATTTAAGCTAAAAATCATTAGCACACATCAATATTCAATGAAATAGGAGTAGAAAAGGTTTACCTGGGGCTAATCGCCGGCTGGTTGACGTTGGAATCGGATTTTCGTCGAAGAGAAAGAGATGGTTGGGTTGCTGTGCAAATGAACGAAGGTTGTGCCATTTTTTAGGGTAAACCCATATGTCGACGACATGTCGTCGGTATAGGGTCAAATAAACGATTTCATTCCAATTATTTGCTGAAACAAAAAAACAATTAAAAATTAAAACCTATGGCGACGACCTATCGTCGGGATAGACCTGGGATGCGGATCGCCATACGTGTCATGCCGACGACTAGTCGTCGGTATAGCATACACAAAACAACGTCGTTTTGTTTTTCTAGCGTATGGATTAAAAATAAATGGAAAATATATTTTTTGATACGACATGTCGTCGGTATAGAATTTCAGAAGACCGTCAATACTTTTGTCGTTCCCGCCAGACTTTTGCCGACGAATTGTCGTTGGAATAGAGGTCCTAATCAAATTAAATTGGTCAAAGTTCGCAAAAGGTGTGGCGACGACATGTCGTCGGGATAGGGGTACTTGTAGCGATGACACTTGTCGTCGGCCTAAGTGTCGTCTACATAGGTCGATATCCTTGTAGTGTATTTTTGTGTCGGTTTAGGATATGTACCTTATAAATATATATAGTGTAGGTTAAAACATTTAAGATTGTAACATTAAATATGTTGAAAGAATAAGAATTTGAGTTACGAAAAAAAAAAAAAAAAAAGTAGTAGTTTGGGAGGTAGACATGTAAGAGGAAAGTAGGATTAAAGAGGAAGTGAACGAGTGAGAAGATATTAATGAAAAGAATAAAAAATAAAAATATATTTTGTTTGAGGCGACTAATTAGTGGCTTCCGATTGGTTTTGGTTTTGGGAAAGCTCAATTTACCAAAAGAGTAAAATAAATTGAATATAAATACATTTGTCATGTTCATATCATTTTCATCTTGAAAATTTCGTCATGTTAGGAAAATAAATTAAATATAAATACATTGGTCATGTTCATATCATCATTATAAAGGATATTGTTCTATATAATCAAAATTTATTAAAAGTAGGGTAACAATTAATTTGGTCATGTTCATATCATTCTATCAAAAATTGTTACCCTACTTTTAATAAATTTTGATTATACAGAACAATAACACACTCTCCAATCTATTTCTAAGCTAGAGTACTCCTTATTACTTAAATCTTCAAACATTTTTTTTTAAAACACAACAGACAAACTAATTTACTTCTAATTATCACCATTTATGTTTCAAACTAGATTTAAACCAATAGCCTATTAATTAAAAAAATCACTCGTTAGGGACCCTTTGGTTAAACCTTCTACCACTTGGGCAGAAGAAAACCACTTCAACACCATATACCATATACCGCTCGACAACAAGAACGGTTATTTATTTTAATCAATGTTGATGACACCACTAAGTCATAGTTATCGAGCTATATGAGCTATGAACGATTCCAGCTCCACCCGAGCGTCGCCTCCATCTCTCACCGAGTTTCTAACTCGACGGCCTACAACCACCGCCCTCTTCCTCATCTCCTGCCCTTCCGTCGAACCCATCAATCTCATCACCGCCTTCTCCACCGCCGCTGCTGGCACAACCTGCGCTTGCCGTGAGGACCATTCTTTCACCAGGAAACCTACTTTAAGAATCTTGGTTACCAAAACGGCGTTGTTTGGTTGGTCGGAGTGTAAAGGCCATGCAGCTATTGGGACACCCATAGAAATGCTTTCCATGCACGAGTTCCAACCACAGTGACTCATGAATCCACCGATAGATGGGTGAGCCAAGATCTCTAACTGGGGTGCCCATTCTCTAACCACCATGCCTCTATCTTTAACTCGATCTTCATACCCTTCTGGAAGTTCCAAGCGACGTTTAATTTCATCGTTGAACTCATAATGAAGATCTCCTATATCTGCATCTCGTAACACCCATATGAACTTTACGTTGCTCCTTTCTAACCCGGTTGCAATCTCGAGAACTTGTTCATGGGAGAATGAAACGGTTGTACCGAAAGAAACGAAGATCACGGTGTTCGATGCTTGTTTGTCAAGCCATTTGAGGCATCTGTCGACGTGGACTGGACCACCATCTTTTTTCGTGACTACTGTTGACCTTTTTATGTCCACAGGATTAAAGGGTCCAAGAGCCCAAAGTAACTTGTTTCGATTTCTTGCCTCTGTTTCAAGTAGGTCCAGAATTGGTTGCTCCACGACTTTACACGTGTTGTAGATGCGGCCTGAGCTTAGTTTTGTATACTCGTGTTGTAGTGAAATGAATTTATTGAACTCGGAAGTGAAGCAACCCTCGAATGAGAGGAGGTCTTTTGTAAGATCCTCTGGTTCGACTAACTCCTGGATTTGTTCTCTAACTTTCTTGGAAGTGTATAAAGCAATAGCGAATGCTGATACTGTATGAAAAGTATATGATTCAGCGTTTGGAAGAGAAACGAAGTCTTGAACGACAGAACCCATTAGAGAATCATGGATAACAACGAGACGGTGGGTGGTTGGGGAGAGTTTACGGAGGAGGGAGGCTACGGGGTGGCGGAGTTGGGTGGCGGCTTCGCATAAAGGCTGGAGATGAGAAGGGAAGTTGTTGGTGGAGTTGGGGTTGTGAGGAGGACGAAGAGAAGAGGAGGGAGGGATAGGGAAGTCGTGGAAGTGAATGGTGGAGATGGTGTGGGGGTTCCATCCCTGGATCCGGAGCTTGGCTTGGCGGCCGTGGGTGGTGGTGCAGACGAAGTGGACTGGGATGTTGTTGGTGGCGATAAGACGAGAGAGGTGGAGGAGCTGGTTTAGGTGGCCTTGTAATGGTAGTGGAACCATCACTACGACCACCTTATTCAGGTCAGCAGCCATTGTAGGTGTTACCATGGATATTGAGAGCTTCGTCTTTAGATGTGTGTATTATATTGGCGGTTTTTAAATGGAGAAAGATAGTATTTATTTGAGGGAAAATGACTTAAAAGCCCAACAAAGTTTTCAAACCGTTTAAAAAATCCCAATCATGTTTTGTCTATTAAAAAAACCCAAGAAACTTAACATTTTATCTAAAAAGTCCAACTAAGTTACACCTTCTCGAAAGTCAAATAAGAGAAACAGATGACGTGGCTTATTACCGTATCGGAAAAATGACTTGTTAGACCAACGAAGTTTCCAAAACGTTTAAAAAACTCCAATCATGTTTTGACTGTTCAAAAAAAACCCAACGAACTTAAACAAAACAAAATTGAAATTTTCTGAACGGTTTGAAACTTTGTTGGACTTTTTAGACAAAAGGTTAAGTTCGTTGGGTTTTTTTGAACATGCAAAACATGATTGGAGTTTTTTGAATGGTTTGGAAACTTCGTTGGGCTTTTAAGTCATTTTCCCTTTATTTGACAAGTTTCCTTCCTATCAGGGAGAACAATAATTGATAGATGAATTTCACATGTGTCAACTGAATATAATAAGAATTGACCAACCATAACATCTAGAATAGCATGCATAAAATTTTAATACTAATATAAATAGGTGGTATATATTATTTTTATAATAACGATGCTGAAACACTGTATGTTTGTCAACTATTAAATTGCTTGATGTTTATTTATTTATTTATTTTTTGGTGTTGTGACTGAATGCCGTTAAGAATGTCTTTTTAAAATAACGAAGAAATTGAATAACTATGGCGGAACTATATCTTTACGAAGATTAGTCGCGGGGTGAAATCTGTAAGTTAATTCTAATTTTTATTTTCGATTAAAAAACCCTCATTTTTTGTTATTTTATATTAAATTTTCAAAAATACCTTTATTATGTACAAAACTCAATTACTCAAAAGAAATGGATGAGTAAACCAATCTTTCTAAAAACTTTCATCACTTAAGATTGCGTGACCATTTGAGATTATTAGACCAAAACGTCATGTATAGCGGAAGAAAACAAGCCTCACCGAACTAGATATGAACTATACATAAGAATTATATAATGATGAGAAGACAAGACAACATATATATTCTAAAAAAGGATATCAAATTTTTTTTTATATTGCAGATTTTACTCAGATTTTGGAACCACGGTGCTAGATGCCGATTCTAATATCATCAAAGATATATCTTGAGTTTATGGTTTACTCTCCAAATAGCCTTTATAGAGAGAGGCTATATTAGGATATATATATACAAAGACATATATAACCATATCACACCAATAGGAGATATATTAGCACTTACAAAATCGTATTTAGTTACCAAAACTTATTTCCTAAAGTTTCTTGTAACGGAATTCTCAACAATATAATTTTTAATATTCAACACCTTAACACAACTAAGGTTCAATGTTCAATAAACATACTTCCTTGGTACCTTGACAAGTTCAACATGTAGACCTCTTAAGTAAATGGAAATTTAGATAGTAACAATATCACACTTTTCTTCATAGAGAAGAGAATTTGCATGTTCTCAAATATAAGACCAAAAAAACATAAATATTGAGTTGTAGATATGTTAGTTGGTTCCCTATGTTGTTTAAAAATCCATATATCCCTCCTCTTAAACCATATACTAAAATTGAGGAGCATTCCGAACATGACAAATCTCTTGTCAAAAAAAATCAACCAATTTATCGATAAATTTTGCGTTGTTACTCCAAAACGAAGGCGGAAAGTGGTCTAGTATAAGAAGCTTACATACACTTTTATTGAGTTGTGAAACATGCAATAAACCATGTATTTTGAAATACGTAGGGAATTTGAACTTATATTCAACATTCCTAACAATTGTAGAAATTTGAAAAGAACCATAATACTTGCTTACGAACGCCTGATTCATCATTAATTTATGTAACAATCGGTTCCATGATATTTATTATTTTGACCCTTATTATTAATTTAATTTGAAAATTTGGTCCCAAGGGGGTAAAAGTGAAACTTTTGGGAAGGAAGGAGTACAATGGGCGTGCTCCTAGTACATTGGGTGTATGTTGTTCAGGGACAAATCCTAATTTTAGGGTTTGGACCCTATTTAAGCATCATTATGGAGCTTCATGGTGCCCCATCACCAACCTCTTTACCATAGAAGATAACCCACGAAACCCTAGCCTTCTTTGGAGTGTTCTTGAGCTTTGAAGTGATTTTGTAGCACTTATGGGTGGTTCTTGGTGAAGAAGAAAGTTCCTTGAAGAAGAAGTGGTGCATTCAAGCTTTGGATCCAGATTCTACACCTTCTTGTGCATCCTTATAAGGTATTGATATTTGCATAATTAGTCATATGTTTAGCATATATTTTTATTCATTTTTAGCTATTATGTGCATAATGTGGACAAAAGGTACTTAATAATGCTTTAATTGTGTTTTCAGTCCAAAAGACATGCTTAGAAGTAAAAAAGAATAAGGAGAAGCAATTAGAGACCAAAGAATGAAGGAAAAGGAAAAACCCACACCTACTCGGCAAGTCCACGCACCAACTCGGCGAGTTCATAAGAATGTTCTCGAAGAAAAGTCAAAAATCCTTGTGTTAGTCCCAAAAACTATGGATCCAATTCAGTAATCAATGAAGCAAATAGCAATCAAAATTAAGTGTAAAAGGAGTAGAAGAGAGATAACATCAAGCATGCACACATCTATATCATAAATGTGAAGTACACCTTGAGAAGTACACACACTGTACTGTCCAGCAACAAGTACAATCTGGCACAAATCAGCTCCTATAAATAGTATCCCCACCAGCACACGAGTGTGCAGCCATACACGCGTGTGCGACCGCACACACTGTATGCGGCCGCACACACGTGTGAGGCTGCACACATAAATCAAGTTTAACCAAAACACTGCATTACATACACTTTCACCCTAATCAGATCTATACAAAATTGATGCCTAGCTCAAACCACAATATTATAGACTATAACTGTATATGTATTTTATATCTACGATAATGTTGGGGTAAAACATGGGTAGATGTAATAGATGGAGTATGAGTTGGATGATGTGTTGAGAGGTGAAATAGAACGTGAGGTGAGGGTGAGAGGTGGACGATGTGAGAAACCTTTTTCCCAAATGATGGCCCCGTCATTCAGCAGAGTATGGATGACAACCACTGGCTATTCTAAACAGTCCAGTGGAACATTAGCAGGCTCGCAACCTGTAGGTGTTGTAAACGATGAGTTCACCGGTGTACTCTAAAAACTAATTGACATGTATTGCGAGTGGATACTGTCGATAAACGAAATAGCCCTGGCAGCTATGGATTTAGTGACCGTTGAGCAAACCTTGGCAGCTATGGACTTAGTGCCCGTTGAGTAAACCCTGACAGTTATGGACTTAGTGCCCGTTGAGTAAACCCTGGCAACGATGGATTTCGTTCCGATTCCTTAGGATGATCCTTAGGAATGAATGAACGAGAAGTAGTTGATTCTTAGGGTAGACCCTTAAGAGTTAAGAAGATAATGATGATGGGTAATTGGGTTAACTGTTTGACAATTAACATAATAATTATATTATTGTGGGTTGAAAACCCTATGTACTCATCAGGTTTCCCAACCTGACCCACTCAGCTTATTTATATCACAGGTGTTAATATGAAGTCACATTACACTGAGAGATTAAGAAGATTTAAATCACTAGTGATAATGAATGTAAGTTCTATTTATGCTTATGTTTCTTTATTGATAATAACATCAAAAATGTTTTAAAATGAATAAAAATATATTTCTTTAGAAATGCTTTGATAACGTATTTATCATGTTTTACTGGGAACAAATTCCGCAACATTTTTATTAAAAGGGGTACTCTGATTTTTATAAAGCATAAACAAAATTGGTCTTTTCTGGCCGTGAAAATGGGGATGTCACAGTTTAATTAGATTCATATTGGCGCCAACCGGAACGCCAAGATACTTGAATGGTAGAACACCCGTTGCACACCCCAATAGGTTAGCCTAATTTTCTATTTCTGCCTGGATGGCACCAATACCAAAAACCTTTGACTTATGAAAATTTACTTTGAGACCCAAAGAGATATGAAAGCACCTCAATATACGTGCAAGGTTCTTGAGATTAGACTACGACCATTCACCTACGAACAACGCATCGTCAGCATAGAATATGTGAGATATGCTAGGTCTATTACCTGGGATTTGAACTCCTTTGAAGAGCCCTTTTCCACAAGCCGATTTAAGAGCCACACTCAACCCCTCCATTGCAATAATATATAGGTAAGGAGATAGGGGGTCACCTTGATGAACCCCTTTTGAGATCGGAAATTCCTTCGTTGGAGATTCGTTAACTATCACTGAAGCCCTAGACGAATTCAGGTTTCCCCGAATCCACATCCACCATTTGTTCCCAAAACCCATTTGTTCAAGTACCGAATCAAGATATTGCCAATTCACCGAATCGAATGCTTTGTCAAAGTCAACTTTGAAGAAAAGGATATTTTTCCGCACTTTTTTAGCCCATGTACAAACCTCATTAATCATGAGAGGGCCATGAAGTATGCAGCGCCCTTCCACATAAGCCGACTGTTCGTCACCAATTAAACTCCTGATAACCGACTTCATTCGATTGGAAGTATCTTACTTATGATTTTGCTCAAACACCCAATAAGACTTATAGGGCGATAATCATTCAAAGATAGTGGGTCTTTGATTTTGGGAGCTAGAGTGATGAATGACGAGTTACACCTTCTTGCAAGTGAGCCACACTCCTCAAAATGCTTTACAAACTTCATCACATCATATTTGATAATGTCCCAGAAATTTTTTAGGAACTTAAAGGTAAAACCATCGGGTCCTGGGGCTTTTTCACTTCCACAGTCCCAAATCGAAGCCTTAATCTCCTCAAGACTGATATGAGATTCAATTTTAATGACATCCATCATT